CCTCTTCAGTTTAATACCCATATTGGAATACATAATTTCCCTCATCAATTAAATTAAATTAAAATGTTCAAACAGGTGGCAACCTTCAACAAAAATATTTTCGGCTGTAAGCCTTCTTAAATCTCTTTCTTTTGACTGCCATATTGCAATATTTACTTTATCTTATTAATTTACTTAAATTGGAATTTTCAAACAGGTGGCAACTTTGTCATTTTTTTCTTTCTATATTTCAAGTTAGACCTCTATCAATACGTCCGTAAAAACTGTATTCAATTTCATGTATTAGTTTTCGAGTGACGCGCATAAAAACTTACAGACAAAAATTCTAAAACTGGTTGATTTGACCTCTGTTGCTCTAAAAAAAGACCCCCTTTCTTTAAAATCTATAACGTACAGACATCGGCCTGGTACGATTTTATTATACATATATATAGATTACCAACGGGGAGGACAGAATGAAGTCCAAGTCACAAAGTGTTTTGTGAGTTGGCGTCGCAACCCAATATTGGGCCCATATCATTTGACTCGGCGGACTAAACAATATTGCTAATTCCCTTGAAGGAGGTGAAAGTATAGAATCGTATGGGGGGTAAAAGCTGAGACTACAATGGCTTCGGCTTCAAATAGTTATGCATGTAGTTAGTTAGATAAATAAGATGGCTATCTGAGCAAAATAGCAGAATTTCGTTTGGTTGGCAACACTCTTCACGCTGTTCACAAAATTATATAATTATAATTTAGCTTTGTGACTTTTCTTAACAGTTGACTATCTGATTCTTTGCTTTTACAACTAAGTATTTATGCCAATGCATTCTCGCCACAGATATCGGGCACACCCTTATCTGCCGCTAAACGTCTACAATTCAGCCTTTCGGTGATGCCCGTGCCCGAGGTGGAGAGTATGAAGAATTTGCGTACACTCACCATGCCACTATTTTGGGTAGAAGAGGCAGCAAGCTTGGATAAGACATGGACCGATATGTTGAAGAAAAAAGTTTTCTTGTGAGTATGAAATAATATGTGTGGGGAGGATTTACAATTCGAGCTTGGAAAGAAGTTTTGTGCTCTTAGTAAGTGCAAATATTTTCGAATTTCCCGCACGACTTAAACCTCACTCAAGCTGTTATTGTAGACAAAAAAATTAAAAAAAAAAAAACATTTTCAACTCCAAATTGACATTGTAAACTCTCCTTTGAGGTCAAATACTTTAGCTCAGATGACTATTTCATAAATATTTATTTTTAGAGTTATCAAAATCAACAACATTTTTAAATGGATGTCGACGGTTGTGGGAGCCTGCGGCCTGCTGTTTAGCCTCTATATGCTTTATGGTAATAAGCAAATCACCACGACAAATGTTGCACCAACTGCCGATACCAAATCTATCGATAAACATTAATGCAATTTCTAAATTAAGTATCAGCAAAAAATTCGTAATAGAAGAAAAACGCTTCATTTAAGAAATTAGTGAATGTGTTGTAGTAATGTAGCTGCAGTAAATACCACAGCACATACATATGTATGTACATACTTATTTATGTACAATTCTTTTAGCAGCAATAAATTTAAATTAGTGACGTCCTCTAGACGTATGTATGTGCATGAACAGCTGTTTGATTTCTCATGGAAATGCCATAGTAATTACCAGCTAGGTGTTACAACGCTAATTTACTGTACTTATTGTTAATTGGATCAAATTTAAGAATGAAATGGAGCTTATTATTGTCTATATGTATTACTTTGGATTTATTCCAATGCCAACCCTCAAAGAACTTTCAATCAATCAGTGTTAAAATAGAATACATAAATGCAAGTTGATTGGTCTAACTCAAGTACATGGAATTATTTGCATGGCCATTATTGCACTTGGCCAATGGATAATTTGTTGGAATTTTTACGCACTTTTTGCATCTGTCAGCGAAAACTATAATTGTCAAATTAGTAAGCGGCGATGTAATGGGCCATCATGTATTTACCTTCCAGGAATAAATTCCAACAACTCAGTTGCTAATGATATAATAAAGCTCAGATTTTAGTACTTTGAAGCAGGCAATTACAGTAGACTCCTAATAAAGGTGACGAAAGACTTTGCAAAATTTTGCAACTAACATTGATAGCTAGATAATATTTCATTTTTAAGAGGGTTGTCTACTTGTTTGTCCTCCGAATTCTTTTGTCTGTGTGCTGTACAGATAAATTTTATCAGAGACTTCTTCATAACAGATATGTATGCAGTAGGACAGGGACTATCTGTATATTGTAATATCCGGATACCCGTTTGAATATTTGTGAATACAGATAAAATCCGAATATCCGATTAATATCCGTTCCTTTAGTTATCCGGATATTCTAAACAGTATTTGAGCGGATTCGTAAAATGTCTTCCAAAATTGCTGAATGTATCGAGTTGCAAGATAATTGATAATTGAGTACTGCATTAATACAAAAACAATCGGATATATGGATTTTTTACTCAGATATTCGAATAGTCAAAAAATTCGGATAGAACGCCCAGCCCCAACATGCAGTCAGAGACACCAGCCGATATTAAAAATTTAATTTTTTTTTATTTTTGAAGCTCATGCATTGGGATATGAAATTAGAACCGTATATAATGTTTTTTGGAATGGATTTCCGGTATGTGAAATTTGATTAAGAGACAACCGGTGTATCACCTTCAGTCTCATGTTTTAGTTAGAGCAAAAAATGTATAAATTAAAAAAAAAACCTAATTACGGCCGCAATCGTCGCTTAAATATTTCCGTATTCCTGAATAGTTGTTGTTGCAAAATTTAAGATAAAAACGAAAATGAAAACAATGATAAATACATCAAAAAATTTATTGAAATCTTTAGATAGGAATCGAAATAAATTATAAAAATTTGGTTGTCCAAAGTGTCGATCAAGTTACCGAGTTATCTATCCATGTTTATTGTGTTATCGCAACGTATCAAATTATTCAAACTGAGCAATGTTTATAGACACAGAAACTTAGTTGTCAAAATTTATGGATAGTTGTCCAGTTAATGAAATTTATCAGGTTATCGATATTTATTGAAAAAATCATTATTTATAGATTTAACGAAATTTATCGCATTATGGAAATGCAACTTATCGAGTTATCGCTATTTATTGATTTTCTGAAAGTTTTTTTTTTTTTTCATTTGCAAGACAGATCGAGTTATCGAAATTTAAATGTTATAAAAGTTTATCGATTTGTCGCTGCTTATCGAATTTTATCGTGGTGTCAGAGTGTAGAGAATTATCGAAATTTTACGATAGCTTTCAAAAAATATGGAGCTGTCAAAATTTATTGAGTTTTCGAAATTTATAGAGGTATGCAAAGTTTATCGATTTATGTCGCGACATATACATTTTTGAGTTATCGAAATTTATCGAGCCCTCGTAACGCACTGTCAACGAAATTTAACGAAAATTGTCGAAGTTATTGGATTTTACTGTTTTCGAAATTCATCGAATGATCGATATACAGATCGATATCGAAATTTATTAACAAACTGGAATGTATCGGGTCACTTCCAAGTCCTGCCAAAGACCTTCAAGATATATAAAATTTAGTCCCCTTTTAGTTCCGCAGCAGGAGATTTTCCGGTAGTGATTTTATATTTTATAACTTAAACGACGTTCCACAGTGGTTCGGATCGCAAATCTAGCTGGACGAAACTATTTAAACAAATACTCGTTGATGGATCTTTACACCACTTACCTAGGGGATTTTTGAGTCGCTGATTACGAGTCTGAAGTCACTTATCAAAAATTAAAAATGGCGGATCCAATATGGCGGACGAAAATTTAAAAAAATCGGTAGATTTCTATGTAACTGTGTACTTTTTTTTTAACTCTTTCATAACCAAAGGTTTTATAACTCCAAGTATTTTTCTGTTTAAACACACAACCCCTCCCCCCCTCTTCCCCGTGGATCCGCCACTGATCTTATATTTATATTCAGATACATTCCTGTTAATAATTACTTTTGAATTTTGAGATTTGACATACTGTCACTAAAATGTAAATATCTAAGCCAATTGGTTAGACTTGGCTATCGAACTTACCCTCTGCATTTGCGAAGGTGTAAAGAATAATATGCAAGTGGTTTTATATCGGCCTTCGGCGGCCTTTACTTTTCCTACTCTTTAATTTATTTTTTTAATTAATCAAAACGACAATTTTTCAGAATAAATTTGCTTGTACCAATGTGGACATAAATTGCGTTATGACCTCTGAATCTATAGCGAAATAAGTGTAATTTTTTGTTTATAAAGTCAATTTGCAATTATGTAAATATTTGTGAGTGCAATTAGCAATCTTTTAAGTTAAATTTCAGCTTTTAAAATAGAGTTCTCTAATAGGCGGCGTTGACTTACCTTTTTTTGTTTGTTTTCATATGTTAATGCTTTAATAAATGCAATTTCTATTTGAATGTATTGTCAGGTATGTATTCCAAGTACCATTAAGTATTTTAAAAACAAAAAAAATTTTGACTTTCGTCCAGCTAGATCTACTATCCGAACCACTGTGCGTTCTAAGTTAGAAAACCTCTTCAAGGCTCTTATTCTTTTGGTTTAATTTTTAACTCAGAAAATAACAACTGTCATTTTCTGAGCATAAAATAAAGCCAAAATCCTATTTGCTGAAAATATCATCGTGTCTGATTGCAATTTTATTACTCTATCGGTGGTGTGGTCTTGCAATCGCCTCCGCCGGACTAATTTTTGAAGCATTCCTCTGCAGATGAATCGTTCGTGTGGCCTATCGTATACATAAAAAGGCTCTAAAACTTAGAAAATAACAATTACAAAGTCTTTTTTAAATAAAGCTTATAATTATTACAGTCCCTCAAATATTTTCAGATTTTATTTATCCACTGTCTCATAGATTATTCAAAAAAAAAAACTTAATTCTTAAAGAGAAAACAAATCTTTAAATTTTTTTTTTTCATACATACATATAAAATATTGAATTTTATTTAGTCCTATAAAACTACATGTACATATGTATTAACTTATAATTAAATACAAGGCTCATAAACAAAATACAATGAAAATAACTTTAATCATGATAATTACAGCAATAACACATTGATAGACTTATCTAATTACAGAATTAAGTTAAAAATTTCGGCAGCGATGATACAAATGTACTTTTCTTTTTAATTCTTTGCCAAAATTTTGTTTCCACACAATATTAAAAATAAATTAAATATGATTTTGTAGCTACAATATTTACAACAACTTTTTCTAAACAACAGAAAAAGTCTAAAATATTTTCATACACACTGTACACAAGGGATTAGAACTGTGAGCACTTCGGAAATTGTAGAGCAGGAGGATGTATATTTGAGAGTGGCGAAATTGAAGCAAACATGCATTTAGCCAATAGATATCACCAAATATTACATAAATATTTATGTATTCCATTTTGTGCTTTATCAGTTGATCTTTTTGACTTTTTGATTAGCCGTGGGTATGCTATGGTGTATAACTTCGGGACGAGAGAGCAAGCGTTTTAGCAGGTAATAGATTAGATAGATGGCGCCCGCATAAAGTGCGACTACATCGACAAGATAGTATTGGATCCAACTGAAAAGATGAAAGTTATATTAATCGTATTTTCTAGAGCATTTTTGTGAAATGAGTTTGCTGAGTCCAAGAACACTTAATATGTATGTATATGGGTGAAGCAGATATTTGACAGCAATTATTTTGGATGTGTTAATGTCTATAGCAAACTTGTTATGGAGCGATACTAAGTTGAACAATGCGTAAAAGTGATCCAATGCAATCGATGAACATAACCGGCCATCTGAGTCACCAACTCGTTTGGTGCACAAATTCGAGGAACCTGGGTAGGTTCGGTAGAAGATTCTGCTGCTGGGAACAAAGTGTGGGCCAGCACGCGATATAATCTCAATTCGTCGTCGTGCACAGCACCGTTTAGAGGATTTTAACAAAATTACGTATGTTTTCAAGCCTAGAGACAATGTCGATTGTTCAAAAACAAAATCCTCACGAGCGATGATGCACATTTTCCGCATTTGCGGTACTGAAAATCCCCATGTTATTCAAGATAAAACTATGCACTCACAACGAGTCTCTGTTTGGTGGTGTGATTTTTGGGCTGTCAAAGTCAATGGCGCACTTACGGTGGTAAGTAAATGTTTTCGTGACATTATAACAAACTTTTTATGGCCTGAATTAGATGACATGGACTTGGACAATGAATGATTTCAAAAGGACGGCGCCACTTGCCACACAGCGCATGAAGCAATGGCACTAATGCTCACGAAGTTCCCAAGACGCCTTATCTCATGAAACAACGAGGACAAATTGCGACCGAGATTTGACAACATTAGACTTCATTCTCTAGGGCCACGTGAAAAATACAGTCTATGCCAATAAGCCTGAGATGATTCCAGAGCTGAAGAACGAAATCATATGCGATATAAATTATATACAGCCCGAGATATGCCAACAAAGTCATTACAAGTTTTGATATGCGCATCATGTATTGCCTGGAGCTCACGCACCTCCTTTCGACCGATAGGAGAGAAATGCACCAATTATGTGGCTCTGAAGGCACTAGAGTGTCTAGTAGGCCGTTGCTATACAGATCCAGCTGCTAAAACCTGGCGGCTTAAAGCTCTTAGAGCAGAACTACCAAAGGATTTTCAGGCGTTCACAGGTTTTCAGTACTTTATTCAGCTATACGTTTTATATTGCGGCGCGAGCGCTCCTCTTTCTGCCGCTTTATGTAGCCTTCAGACAAGAATACTGAATCACAATATAAGGCAACTAATAGGGTTTTTCAGTATGGCTACAGTACTGAAAAATAAAATAGATCGTTTGTTGTTGCTGTAGCTTTATTATAAAGTTCTGCCCGGTTCGGGTAGACTTTCGATTATTGTCGTCAAATCCAACGAACGGTAATCCCCGGAAATATGCTGTTTTCACGTGGTCGCCCATGCAAAGGATTAGTTGGAGTCTTGGGGGGTACCATCACAGCTCAATTATATTTTGGTATATCGGGGTCTAATCTAGATAAGTAGTAGTTTATTCTACTATAGTATCCAGATCTTTATTGCGCCAGAGGTATCCGGGGCCCAAGAGACAAGCGAATCTTTTTTTCCTCTAGTTGTCGCGCGATCAGAGCCTGGATCTCGTTCATGGGTTCGTAAAGACGCCTTCTAAGGACCCTGGGAGGTGTTTCTCCTTCTAGAAAGTGTCTAATAGGTTGTTCTTTTATTCTAGATGGTTCATTGCATCCACTCTGCGTAAGTGTCCTCCAAGCAACAAGAGAAGGCAGCCCGATACGGTTCGAAATGAGGTGTTCCGACAGATCTGTAGCTGGATCCAGCTAAAGTATTTTGGTGTAGCATAAGTTAGAATAGGTGGGCCAATTGCCTTGTATGTATGTTTTCAACAGCGTTTATTTCTCTTCGGCCCAAGAGCTGCCGGCGAACAATTTGAAAACCTTGTTGCGGCCCTTTTTACTTTAGTTAATAACAGTCATGGTTATCTTCGTGGAAAAGGCGAACAAGCTGTCCATAGCAGCCCCTATAATTCCCGGGTTATTAACCGTCCATGATTGCAACTTGACCCCTTTCGTCCAGGTGGTAAAGCGAATCGCCGACTTTGTAGTTAGTAGAGAGCGTAAAGCTCCCTGCAGTAAAGGACCGAGCATGATCGGACAGATTACAGCTTACTTCCAAATGCAGTTCATGAATGCTATTGGCGGACAGCACTCTCGAGCATTCGTTGAGAAAAGTAATGAGGACACCACCTTGGTGGTACACCTGCTTAAGTAATTCTTCTTCGCATTCGAAATTTTTCTTGAATGAGTACCGACGACTATCGACCACTCAGTTACTTCGCCGCATACCGTTTTAGCCCTCCTGTGGGAGAGAATGCCTCAATGTCCTCTGGTAGCTTGAAGGGCCAAACGGTCTCCAAGGCTTTCGACAAATCTAACGCCAATAGGATAGTTATCTCTTCTTGGCTTATAGATTTGAGGGTTTGGTGGTGGTGGGCATTTCACGGAAGCTGCGTTGATGCATAGCGGGGATTAGGTTTCACGTAAAGTGCGAGAGTAATTAGGCCTCAATCGTATTCATTACTGTGGAAAGAGGAGTTATCAGGCAATACGATTTTTATTTTGTAGGTTTCATTAGTTGAACGACGACAAATTGCGGACCTAAGTGAGGTCAACAACTGCTGAGCTTAGTAACTTTTTACTTTTCATGACTCATAACTAGATATAGTCTAGTTAGGCGACCTATTCTGTCCTAAATGCTTGGTTTGGCTGCTAAACCTTTTAAGGATCTATTAATAATAATGGTACTTACCTCAGATTTCTGGCTGGCGATTGCAGATGGTAGGCTCCTTTGTGACGCAACACATATTCGGTCCAATATATGGACGTCTCCAGGGGAGTAGTACGCTGATCTGTCAGCAACTTTTGTCGGAATCTAAAAGGATTTTCAGTGAGAAAAATTAGACAAAAAATTTTGAATCTTCGCATACACTGAGAAAAAAGGCAGCTAAATATATTTCTCTTAACACAGGATTTTAACAATAACCAGATCAAGTGTTGAGAGAATTTTATTTAGTTGATGTAACTAAACTCTTTCCTCAGTGTATAACCTACCTCGCCGCCTTTCTGTACTGTGGATCATGTATGACCTTCATAATCGCCTTGTACAGCTGACTGGCTGTCAATGTCTCCAACTGCAACTTAATGGCGTAACCGTCGACCTCCGCTTTGGCCGAGTTAACATCATGATCACAAAAAACTGGCATCGTCACGACAGGTACGCCGTGGTACACCGTCTCGAACATGCTTAGCAAACCGCCATGTGTAACGAAGGCGCGCAGCTTGTGATGACCCAAAATGTCCTGCTGTGGCAACCAGCGACTTAGACGCACATTTGGCGTCAAATTAAGCATTTCCGCGGCATCGCCTTCGTACTTCCAAAGCACATGATATGGCAGGCGGGCAAATGTTTTCACCAATAAGCGACGTAGTGACGCGGGCATGTTGGCAGCCTTCACTGAGGAGCCCATGGACACGTAAATGAAACCAGATTCACCAGCCGATGCGATGAATTCTTCAAGATCTTTCGGCAGTGGTTTGGCTGGCTTACAATGTATGCAAGCGATCTCGGCGACATTTGGATTGAGCGCGCGTGGATATGAGACAACAGCGTGGCCATTTTGTAATATGAAACTGACGTTTTTCGAAATGTCATATGGATGCGGTATGTGGGTGCCAATGTGCACGCGCAACACACGATACACCATCGCCATAACAAACTGTGGAGAAGAAGAGTGAATTTACATAGATATTGCACGGATAAATATTATCCCATCATTACCCTATGCATAATATCCTGAAACACTTGTATGCCTGTGTTCGCAGCGCGTTGTATGAGATTCATTGTATCTGTGAAGCTTGTGTAGAAATTCGGCGTTATCGCATACGAAGCAGGACTGCCAGACTTCGCTAGACTGCCGGTGTAGAAGCCCACCGTATTCATGTACATAAATGGTATTTTGTAGTGATAGACTATGCCGAGCGCGCATTCGGGAAATGCGCCATCCAAGATGGCTAAATCGAAGTTGCGATTCATGAGCTCTTTGGTTTCAGCGTCTTCGAGCATGGCATCGCAGGACTAAAGGGGTAGAAAAAATAATTAGAAACCGAATTTCCACTAGGCATTTAAATGACAAAAAAATGTTTGCCATTTAAAAAAATTGCATGTGGAAATGAACTCAATGACTATTTTTTTCACATAATGGCACGATACTTTTTTTAATGCCCTACTTTGTCATTTTTACCATTTAACGCCTAGTGGAAACCCAATAAAAAAAAGCAAAAGAAATTTATTTCAACCTAGTACAATTTTTTAACCAAAATGGTTTACAAAACAATTCTCAGAAAACCAAAAACACTAACTGAAATAACTAACACGTAATGTTGAGTAAAAGCTTTGCAGCGGCTTCGCCAAATTAGACGTGCCCACCTTGAAGCGTAACATAACAAATGTAATAATAATGTCAAATAAAAAATAAATAATAAAGCAAACGTTTTGCAATTGATTGCATGTCTCTGTTGTAAGTACTATTTGTAATTTTGTTTACCGCAACACTCGGTCACAAAAGAAGCTTTAGAACTCGACTAAGTTGTTGGTGAAAAGTGATTTTTAGCAAACAAGTAAATTTTAAAACATTGCTAGCATTCCAAGAAGCATTACTTATTTTAAATTAATCTTTCAGCAGTACACAATTAACTTTTTTGTTTATTTTTTGGGGGTTTTCTTTTGCTCTTGGTTTTTTGTCTGTTTTTTTTTTTGTAATTTGTAATTTACTGCTTTATACATACGTATGTATGTATGTTCTTACTTTAACTGCTTTGAATATTAATTTTACAGCAGATAATGGAATAATATTTACTATATATTTACGTATGAACGTTTGAAGAGCTTCGCTCATACTTTGCCAAAAATAAATGTAAGCAATTTCCGTAAACAATTATTTGTAAATTATGGGCAATATTTTATACTGCGAGTAAATACTAAGCTTGAAACGATTTTAATGATTCCCTGTGTATTTGCAACCGCTTGTGAGTTCGAAAGTTTAAATGCAAAAGGCCCTATTTGGCGTGAGTATTTTTAGAAATGTGTTTTTATACCTGCGTTGTTTGTAACAGCGTCGCGTGGTGTTATCTCCCTCTACTCTGCCTTCTAACCGGGCAATTCTGGCAAAGATAATTAAAATTCTTTTGTAAGACAATTGAAACACAGTCGGTAAGCGCCCGTAAAAAGCGCCCTCGCCAACTTTCATGGTGAAAAGCTCTTTTGACAGGAATCACTTTGGCATTTTGCTAAACAGGTGCAATGGCCGAGTGAGCAAAGCACTAACATGCCATGCCATAGAGCCGGAGTTCGAAACCTCAGGTAGTGCAATTATAAAAAATAATAAAAATTCTTTGTTTAATTTAATTTTCTCTTAATTTTTGGAAACTTATTTAATGTATTGTTTTAATTTTTTTTCTTTTTTAATTTAAATTATTTTAATTTATTTATTTATTTTTTATTTAATCTTTATAAACAGAAAGTGTGTTGATTTTTTTATTTTATAGTTTTATTTTGGTATTCAGATTTTATTGTTTTATAAAGGAAATATTTTTGTTATTTCATTTAATTTTTAAGGACTTATTTTTTTTCTTACTTTTATTTTTATTTTTATCCTTTTTTAGTTTAGTTTTTTGTTTTATGAAGAAAATATTTCTTCTATTCCATTTAATTCTAAGAAGCTTTTCTAATTTTTTGCTATTCAGTTTTATTTAGTTTTTTCCTTTTTAAATTTAATTTCATTTTAATTTTTAGGTTTTATTGTTTTAGGAAAAATAATAACATTCTAATTTACAATTTCGTTACACTTTTTGCAACTTTCTTTTCAATTAAGTATGCTTTTTTCAGATTATTTTTTTTTTTAGGAATATACTTTTTTATTGTAATCAATTTTTAGGAACTTATTTTTTTTTTTTTCCCAATTGTGTTTTTTTTTAATTTGATTGTTATAAAAGAAAAATTTTTAATAATTTTTAGGAACTTGTTTTATTTATTTTTTCTTTTTTTTTACTTAATTTTTTCATTTCAGTTTTAGTTTTTTTTTAAGAAAAATATATATATATTTATTTAATTTAAATTTTAGAAAACTTACTACTAAAATACAAACAGAATAAGGCTTTGTCTTACGAAAGACTGTAGTGAGTTGAAAGACGGTTGCCAGAATTGCCCTTTTAATGAAAAGGGTGTCAATGTTTAAGGCTACGCGGATGATATTGCACTCCTCATGAGACGCAGATTTGGAGTGACAGTCACCAAATGTTGCAGGAAAACGTGCTAAACGTAAATTCCAAGAAGACCAACATAATCATTTTCTCCAGGAAAAAGTAAAGGAACAAGTTGCTGGAACCATTCTTTGGAGGAAAAAACATACAGTTCTTTAAATAAATTAAGCAGCTGAGATTTATCATCGATGACAACCTCTCACGGAATACGGTACCATATAAAGCTATTCAAAAGGCCAGAGCCTCTCGCTGGACAAGTCGGCAACTTAAGGAGCCTAATGGGAGCATCAGACCTAAACTGGCAAGATGGATGTAAAATGCCAGCTCCGAACTCATTCTAACTTGTGCTGCGCCCGTCTGGTGGTAGAAGATAAAAGTAAAGTTCACGCGGGCCAAGCACAGCGAACTACAATGACTAGCCGGCGTAGTGTGGTCCACGCATTTGGTGTTGGTGCTTTGAGAACAACACCAACCGCGGCCCTCGAGGCTCTTCTGTTTACAGGGTGACTACATATCAGGAAACCATGAGACAAGGTCAAGATCATAGCGCATAAAAAGGGGCTGCGCATAAGCTTTGTGGACCTGCGGTTTCCGATATTAAACTTCACTCGTAACTTTAAGGTATGTATTTTTCCCCAACAGAATACATTGGGGCAACGGACGGCCTAAACGCCGGAACCAATAAAACAACATTCCCTTCGCTTGCTTCCTTAAGCTGGCTTTTGTTTAGACTTTCCCTTGCTGGCAAGTGTGTAATTTATGGGTCTAAATTGATAATTAATAATATTGCTAGCTTTAGCAAAAATTAATATTTTAAACAAAAATATCATAATTTGGAAGATATTGGTCTCCGTAGTTAATCGTGTGTGTATAATAATTTTTGATATACTCTGTAGCATAACTATTACAAAAACTCACCTGAAATGCATATCGGAAGGCATCCCAAAAAGATAATGGCATCTCTCCCGTCATGCGTGATCCCAGTAAATCCCAATTTGTATAATTCTGTATATACTCAACTAGTCCAGAAGGTGTAATTTCATGCAAGCCGTTTATATGAAAATCGGACGGGAAACCGTTAAGAAATGTGATATTGTGACCTCTGGAAAACAAAAGTTAGACATCAGTTTACGGAATTCGAAAAATTAAAACTTATGCCGGATTTCCACTAGGCAATAAATAAAAAACCAAATTGAATAATAAATTTGGGCATTCATAAAACCGTTAGAAATAAAAGTCATTAAGTCTTTTTCTACGAAACGTTTTTTAAATTGTAGACATATTTTCGTAATTTTTGTCGTTTGTGAATAATACCGAATTTCCACTAGTAACTGAAACAGCAAAAAGTTTGTGCCATCTAAACAATTCCAAGTTTAAACGACCTGAATGGCTGTTTTATTAACGTATTGACGTGCCTAATTTTTTGCCATAAATTTTGTTTTAATTTAGTGCCCGTGGAAATACGGCATTATGCATAAAGTGATAATATAACACAGTATGACACACTGGTTTTGAAGTAGACATTATGAAAAATAAAACATAACCGCCGAACTTTATTTATGTCTCGTAAAAAATGGAAGCATTGAAAAAAAAACATAAAAACCGACAGCAAAGAAAAATTAATGCAAATCAAAATTTGTAGTCGCTCCAAAGTTACTATTAATTTACTAAAATTTCATGTGCCGCATACCGGAAAACTTCAGATTAAAAAGTTCGAAATTCTGATGCGAATTTATTGAATTTTTCTAAATTTTGTAAAATCTGTACATTAATTTACATGGTTGTGGTTAAAGCATAAACAATATTTTTATAAAAAAAAAAAACTTGAACTAAAAAAACATTGTGAATATTAAAAAACACATATACACTCAGTTCTATTCGCCAGTTTACAAGGAATGTATGTAATTGGGAGCCTGCAAGTATTGTGCCGAACAGCTAAGGTTGAATGCCTTTACAAGGGGGTTAAAACCAGCTACATATATATTCATGGCATACAGTAATAAAACGAAAAAAGAAATTCATTAAATTTGTGTACTTTGATTCACTCACCTGTGTATCAGTCCTTTCGCCAACTCCCAAAATGGTATTTTATGTGATTTCGTACCGCCCATTGTGACCATCAGTATATCAGCAGCCATTATATTTGTAGCACAAAACAAAAGCGCCGCACCGTACCACACACGATTTGTCATATTGAAATCTAGCATTTGGAAATAAAAATAAAAATATATACTTTAGCAACTTGGAAATATTTTTGCAACTATATTTAAAATGCATGCATAAATCTCTTTGAACAATTTCTGAAACGTACATTTCACGCACTAGCCAAACCTCAGCGCCAACACTGCCCTATATAGATTTTGATGGAGTAATCGAGCGGTTAATGGTAGCAATACAATTTTTAATTATTTAGCGGTAAATTGTTTGCAATTACATTTTTTTTTTTTTCAAGAAACATTTACCATTTTTTTGATGAACACATCATGGTAGAGTGATTTTTATTTGAAAATATTTATTTTGGTAATATGAAATAATAGTGATGGCCAATAACTTTTTCTCATATGCACTAACTACAAGTATTTGTTTTTTTTTTTATGGGGAATTCAAGCTATGCAACAAGTGCCGCAAGCAACATTGCGACGCGTCGCCACGTGTGTATAAAATTTTACGTCAGTACGTGTTTATGAGTTCCAAGCTAAATATGTATGTAAGGAAATTGTGTCTCCCGGTGTAATACCCGGTAAATTATACAGACGCCATTGTAGAAAATGGTAAAGCTCTTCGCTTTGATTTGATATGAATGCATTTATTACTTTCATTTATTCAATGAAAAAAATTTTTCATATTAGGCATTGACCATATATTTTAACTAAAAGTACAATACATATTCTCCTTATGGACCTATTTGTCTGTATATTCACAATTTCGTAAGAGAGCTTTTAAAGAGCTTAAAGCCACATATAGGATATCGTCCTATTATTTTCTTCGCGCTGTCAGTATGGTGACAGAGGCTAGACAAAAATACGTCCAAAAGTAAAATGGAAAGGATGTCTTGCACCCCACCGCCAGCAAAGCTACTGAAGCTCTAGGCAAAATTCTTACGCGAACTTTGTAGAAGCTAGGAGCTCTGACACTAAAATTCTGGATACTATAAAGAAAATAACTAGGTTACTCATGCGCCGAGGTGCGCTTCCTGTCTTCTGATGCCGCCGCATCAACACCTGCATGACTAGGCGGAAATACTCCCAATAAAGGAGCACAACACAATGCTCGGCGAGCAATTCCTTGTAGGGAGCCACAGACGTGGACACACGTACAGACACTTGCTTGCAGGGGATTCCTCGCCAACGCACGTCAGAGGCATCTATACGAACTGACGGACGATGTTCAGAGGTTCATAAAGCAACCTCTGGACCCGACAGCATATCGACAAGCCTTGAGCGGTATTCACAGGTAGTCGGTCTCAAGTTACGTAGACTCCAAACCTGTAAATGCCGTTCACCACCTGACGTGGTTGCCACGGGAGACTCGGCAATGACAACTATCTTGCAATACAGATACTGACAGTGGTACAAAACTCTCATTTTTATTTAAAGAAATCTCAAATGCCAGCAGCTGCACTCATTCTTCTGAAAAAAAACTTTATAGTTAAAAAAGGAAAACCTTGCAAAAAAGGCTTTTTTTCCTTTTGAAACTTTACGTGAAGTATAGCTGATATTGCTTTTGATGCCTCTAATATGGTACCTTGAAGGTTCAATTGTTGAGCAATAAATCATTGAGATATTGAATTTGAAAAAATTTTAGTTTATTCCAGTAGAATGAAAATGAAATGAAATGAGAGAAAATCACTAAGTAAACTGAGTAAAGTTTGAAGTGTTGGAGTTGGTCATGGAGTGCAGAGCTTTGATTTTAGATAAGGAACAACATCTCAAACAGCGGTGAAAACTGCATCCTCATATCCAGGGCAGCAAAACCATACACAAGTATTCATGAAAATTTTTACTCGGCGTAGGTACTTTCGACTTGCTTCACTGTGCAGAAGGACTTATTTTTTTATTAAAACCAAAATTCACCAGTTCTTATAGAATATGGTAGATGTTTCAGATAAAATTCTATAAGTTAAGATATTGCGCAATAACCGCTTATAAAATGCGCACCGCTTTCGAAATTTTCCACACCGATTTAGCCATAGCCAAGTATGTTTCTAATCGACCGTGACCACATTGATTTATGTTGCTACATATGTATGTACGTAGTTGTCCACGCGCTACAATTTGCGGTGTTTGCATTATCTCTTCTAAATAAATACTCGCACTTGTTTCACTCGATTTTGCAACGACCATTCTAGTGCAATGTTCTGCTACTTGATTCGCGTTACAACTTCCACAACAATAAAAAAATGCAGTTGCAATTAAAATATTTAACCACCTTTTTTTTAGGCTAACACAAGTTTATACCACACACAAGTGCGCAATTGATTAAACGTTTGTAAGCTTGTATGTACTCGTATAAAATTTAGTTTTCTAAATCACACAAAAGTCATTGTTCGCGCCCGTTGTGGTTCATGGTTGAGCAATACAGTGTTGCAATTGCAAATCAGCTGCACTTAATGCATTTTAATTTCATGTGCCACAAAGTTTGTTTGATTTTTTTTCTTTAAAGATTGAAATGCTTAAAACACACACAAAGTAGTTAAACCGCTCGAGTCAAGGTTTAGAATTTAATTTTTTGCTTACTAATTTGGTTGGATGTGTGCATGCGTGTGTGTGTGTGTGTGGTAAGAATTAATTATTTTGACCAATACGATTAATTCAGCAATCTTTACATCAATTAACTTGTTTTTTGTTGCTGAAATTAATTGGCCACAAATATGTGTGTGTACATTATTATTTACCAAGAACTTTCGAAAAAAGATCAATGAGTTGTAATAGGGGCTATGTATTAGGTTGGTATGAAAAAATGCTCTCCGAAATTTCTAAACTTAACGGTTTCGTCAACTGTAACAACTACACCTGGGTGAATGAAATTATGGCTTTATATATCAGAATGGTTTCGGCTGATTAGATACGGTAGTTGTAGAGAATTTTCAATTAATTTCTTTACATTCCTTTTGTCCTTGTGCTGGGCCTATTAACTTTTGCATGCATGTTCAATATTCAACTTCCAGTAGGTAATGTTAAAATCGATGCATATTTTTTTACAAAAGCTGACGCCCTACATCCAAACCTATTTCTTGAAGGAAAGCGTTTTTAAAAACCATTTATCATCCCAAGACCATATAAAACTTTTGGTTTTTCAGATTATATAAATATAATTAGTTAAGAAAAGAGGCCCAAACCTTTCGCTACTTAATTCATTCTCCGTTTCAATCGCGATTCGATACGGAGAAATTGGAAGCCCATAACTAAACGATAAATAAATATAAAAACTAGAAATAAATTTGGAGGACTTTGATAGGAACTGGAATTGAGCCGATAACTTATAAATGTATATATCTCGATATAAATCTATAACTCGATAATATTTGGATACCCCTATAAAATTCGATAACTTGGTTAATTTTGATAGCTCCATATTTTTCTAAAGCTATCGACAAATTTCGATAACACGTTACACTCCGGTAACGCGATAAAACGCGATAAGCATTGATAACTCGATAAACCTCTATATTTCGATAACTCGATATATTTTGAATATTCCAAAACCTTCGATTCGATAAATCGACAAATTGCAGAAAATATATGATTATCGATAACTCGATAATTTAAAAGAACTCGATGCATTACGATAACTCAATAAATTTCGTTAACTCTATAAATAATGATAATTCAATAAATATCGATAACTTGATAAACTTCATTAAATTGATAAATTTCGATAATCCCATCAATGTTTATACATAGTTCGATAACTATCCGCAAATTTCGACAACTAAGTTTCTGTGCGACCATTGGTGTTCAACCCCACATCAAAAAAAAAATAATAAAAACAAAGTTTTTTCTAATATCGGCAAACCTCCGAGCTTCTCATAAAAATACAATCGCTGTTCGGAGTCGGCGTAAGACTTTAGGTCCCTTAAGAATATACGAAAAGATAGGTGGGCGGGAAATATCATTTCTCTTCTGTAAACACTTTTATAATGCTTAGTGGTTTGTCGATTCTTGACCCAAAACTGTACCACCTCAGCCTGCCGAAGATCGGATAGCTGCAGAGACATTGTTCAGTACTCATACATTGTTCGTACCTATGGATTGTGTCCGGTATTTATTCAGTTCTATAAGGACTCATAGTTTACATCTTCTCTATCTATGAACAAATTTCGCCATCTCTCTATCTATTCTTTTAAGAAAGCACTTGGTTATTTTGAGGTGGTTGTATCATGAGATCACTGATGCTCTCGCTACGATTGGCCCTAAAATTGGATCTTTTCAACCAACCGACACCCACGTTAATATAAATTCGTTCTATTTTACAACAGAGTTTAACCGCAAACGCATGCAGCTTCAAAGCTTTTAGAGTAACTTGGCTAACACTGCCGATCCTGATTTTATATCGGCACCACATTTTCCAACCATCCAGTCGTTATAATCAAAGCGGTAAATCTTCCAACGAAGATTTTATCAGAAAGTTAGGCGACTCACGGAAGGTTTAAATATCAGAGCGAGTTTTTATAATAACAAGCACGGCCACATATTGACAGTTGTCCAGAACGTGCTCAAACTGTGGAGAATATTCCCTTCTGAACCTGAATCCCCAGTCGAAGACGATGGAGTCGGTGTACAACCAGCTGACCGTAATGCGGTACGAGTCGCAATTTAGCGGCTGGAAAACGACAAAGCTGCGGGCGCTGACAGCCTGCCAGCTGAGCTATTTAAGTGCAGCGGCGGGGAGTTATAAGGTGCATAAATCTACTCTTACTTATGTAAAATATGGCTGGACGAGCGTATGTCGGTCGACTGCAATTTCAGTACATTCTGCCCAGTCCACAAGATAAGCCTTTTTAGATTGGCGAGTAAGGTCTTATCGAGCGTATTGTATGAAAGGTTGAAGACAGAAACGCTCAAGGTCTGAAATTATACAACGCAGGTGGCAAAGCTGGTAGCAGAGGAAGAGGAAGGCCTTCTCTGAAATGGAAAGACCACAACGCCAATCAAGAAGAAGATGTAGGAAGGTTGCCTGCTGTTTAAAAATCTAATTTAAC